TCTACGCCAAATTTCGTAAAGTTATCTGGTTAAATAAAAAAAACTTGTTCATACAAGCACTTGATTCCGAGCGTTCAATTTGTATGGCAGCTATATGCTATAGTGGTCCCAAATCGGCAGTTCGATTAACTGAGCAACAGCTTGAAGAGAAAAGGACGCATGCAAAATTTCAGTTCGGTGGAATAGTTCAAAAAGACAGTTTTGGTCCAATTCTATGATTTAGAAATTCAGTTATTTAAAGACTCGGTTGGAAGGGGTTCTAAGAAGGCTTTCTGGCATCCTTAAAGATACTTATTTTATTTACGAGCGATTTAAATCAAATGAATATAGCATACAATACAGACAGGGAGGGTTGAGCAGCTAATTTTTAAGTGCTCTAGGTCGCAAAGGATTCACCGCAGAAAGTTGTGCGTCCTGCTTTTGCAAAAATTTTATATCAATACACAAAACTACATGAAACTATGTTTAATTGATGAACTGTTGAAGGCCAAGCCGTACCTTGAAACCCTGTGCTAAGAGTTTGCGTTCTTTCTTTCTGCTCATTTTTAGGTAGAATGAAGTGTTCGATATTCTAGAAAGTGGAAAATTTTGTGGAGAAAAAAAACTCGACAATGTAAGAAATAAGGATTGATAAAATCCAAATTAATATTCTACCAACAAACATTTTAAAGTTCAGAAAGGTTCAGTTCCACATTTTTGAATTGAGATGTTATAAAAATCAGGATCGTAGAGAAAAAACCGGGTTCCAGCATGAATATAGTGAACTCTCGCGGAAAAAAAAATTGATAAAAGTGTTGCACCGTGCTCCAATGGAAACTCCGCCGTCTCTACTTCACAGATAAAAATGACGTCGGGATTCCATCAGTCAGTCAGTCAAAATTTGTACTTAAAACAATAAAACTTTATATGAAGACCCGGCTTAAAATACATTATTTACGCTTATATACACATATACATATATTTTTTTTGTTGCTTAGTCCCAATATCTTGCTCCACCACGGGATTTTTCGCAGTGCTCACAGAAAACTATTTACTTTCCGAAATAGTAGCAGCTTCTTTGGCATAACCGGTTGAGCACAAAAAGCAAAAAATAAATTCCACAAACTCAACTTAACAGCATTTTTAATAAATTCTGCAATTCATACACACACAACCCCAACTTTACCACTAAAATCGCTTAAACTTATTTCCGCCATTGCGAACTCGCACGCGCACACTTATACACACATGCATAGCAGTACGACAGACTCACCTCTTGTATCGTGTTCTCGGGCTTTTTTGTTGACATATTCAGGAAACGTTCTTGTGTTTGGCAAAATTTCTCCGTCTTCTTGTCGAACTTTTTCTTGTTCTCCTTCACGCCGCCAATATGTTTCTTCCGAAACTCCTCCAGCGGCATAATGATGTGTTGATCCGCCAACGTCAGCTGTGAAATTGTGCAGAAATGCCATTAGTTGAATACACATGCACATACATATATAAAGACTTAGTTGGCGCATATTATTAAAAAAGTTTCAGCAGCTAAGTGTTTAGTTTTCCGGCTAATATAACCTAAAATTTATGGTCTGTCCGCGCTCATATAAATTTCACTTAATTGCTGTTTACTCACCATTTTTTCTCGCTCATCTTCGATGGTTCCAATTATGGCGGCGAAATGTTTCAGACTTTCGCAAATGACATTCTCGTCATCTGTTTGCGCTGTGCCAATGCATTCGAAATTGAAATCGTCCATTAAGTGGGCCAATTGTTTCATGCGGGTGGAAAGTACTGCAAAAGTGAGAGAAAGAATTTGGATTAATTACAAGTGTACTAGCGGACCCGTCCACGTTTTACTGTGGCTGATACATAGGTAGTACAACTAGTATCATCTATATGATTTCTTTTATTTAGATTATAACTATTAGTTAAGGAGATATCGCATTTTTGGTAAAGCAACTTGTGTTAGTTTACAAAAAAAATTAATCAAAAAGCATTTCATGCGTTAAGAAAGCACTGGTTTTTGGAGGAAAATTGAATTTGGGCTGTGCACCAGTGAAATCAATTGAGACGAGTCGACAGTTAGTCTAGTGAACTGCATATTATGAAACGGTTCTCTTGCGTGGCATGACAAAAAATCGGCTGGCAAGGTTATGGCATTCCCAATATTTAGCAATTTTATTATTTTTTAGGAAAGATCAGTGTGAGATATATGTATACTTCATCGTTACCGTTTAAATATTGCACTACTCTGTGCAATGCTTCGAAAAGATTGCTGTATATCTCAAATTATAGTAGACCTTTTTATCAACAATTCAGTTATGCCGCTATATTTTTATTATAGATATCGCGTGTGGTTTGTTATGAATGCATTTGCGTCCTTCGCCCATAATCTCACAAAGTATCCGCAAAGCCTTGACATCGCTTGTTATGCATTCTTGTTCTCTCCAATAGTTAGCAGATATGAAAAAATGTCATGTCTACCTATAGATGTACTGAATCACTCAATTTATTACTTATGAACACACACATTATGAAAACTCCACAGATGTCGCCTTTTAAGGTTTGAATATTGGATATTGCGTTGGTGGCGCAGTCTATCGGATCCAATGTAAGACATTCCAAAATTACCAATTAATTAAAAATGAAAAATTAGTTTCAAAAAAAATTTGCCGGTGGATCAAATTATGAATCTAAACCATTCTCGAATCTCCTTGAACACACAAAAAAAATTTCATCAAAATCGGTCCAGCCGTTTAGGAGCAGTTCATTTACAAACACACGATCAGAAGATTTTTATATATAAAAATTGTTTTTTATAAATATGAGGGTTTTATATACTCATTATCTAAAGTGCTCTTTCATAAAGTAAAAGGGTTTGTCTAATGAAGGAAATCGTGGTATTGTAAGTAATTGTTTTGGCTTTAATTATATAATTATTTCATTACACGCCGAAATATAGTCAGCTATTACCGGCAGCAAAAGAATCAGGCGAACTGCGTACAAAATTTGCATGCCAAATTTAAAAAAGTTTAAGTCCCAGCAGCTTAATAGCGCATCCTTTATGTGAAGAGTAGTCTGGTATAGATGACGTACCCAATAGAGGTCTAAAGGATGTCATGAGTATAAAACCCAGTGAATTTATAAAAATGTACAACGCATTTATAAAAGAAGAAGTGTTCCCCGACCACTGGAAGATACAGCGTTTGGATCTACTCACAAAGACTAAAGAGCCACCTGGAGAAGCGTCATTTTATCGACCTTTGTGTATTTTCGACACGATTGGAAAAGTTTACGAAAGCATACTAAGCAACCGCTTGGAGTTAGCAAACCAAAAAGCCGGAGGATCATTAGAGAGACAATACGGCTGGATAAAAAAGAGATCCACTATTGGCGCAAGATGGAAAGGTGGCACAAAAAAATGTTGTGCTCTAGTTACCTTGAAGATTGTGTTCAACTCTGCAAAGTAGGCAAATATAGTCAAAGTTCTACACGAATTACACACCCACAGTATCTAGTAAATATGTGTTATAATGAGCTATTTTGAGAATAGGAGATTGTTATCTTTTCACACAAAAGTCCAATCGACAGTCATTCAAGTGGACTGCACATGATGAAGCCGTTCCAAAGCGTGGAAAAACGCAACAGTCGGCTCACAAGGTTATGGTATATTTTAGAATAATTTTTATTGACTACCTTGAAGAAAGACGGACCATCAACACCGTTTACATGCCTTGGTCCGTTTCACGGAGAAAATCGCCCAAAAACGCCGCATTTCAAGAAAAAGAAAGTGTTGTTTTACCAAGACAATGTACTGTGACACAAGTCAGTGAAAACGATGGGCTTCGAATTGCTTCCGCACCCACCGTAATGTACAGGTCTGACACCCAGTGACCATTTCTTGTTCTCAGATTTTAAAAGATTGCTTCCTGGGAAAAAATTTTCCTCGAATGAAGTGCTGGCCGTCGACTCTGAGGCCTATCCAGTGGCGTAGCTAGGGAGGGGGCGAAGGGGGCCGTCACCCCGGGCGCACGTCTTCGCTGTTTTTTAATATTCAGAAAATACTTCAACAAATTTTTTTACAAAATTTATTATAAAAGTGGGTGTACGCAATGTATAATCTGAATAACAATGAAAATATTAATTTTTACTCGAATACTCTTCAGCCCTTGAATTTGTCTTATATCTTTTGGCTTACACCTTTCTTAAAAATAGTGATAGAACTTAAAGATACACTTTTCTAGCTTTGATCGCTGCAAAATCTCATATCATATCATTGTAATTTAAAGTTGAAGCAGTTTCACATTCTATTGAGAGAATCGCAAGATTGGACAGTCTACTCTGACTCATGGTCGATCTCAAGTTAGATTTGATCAATTTAAGTTTGCTAAAAGATCTTTCACAAGATGCAACTTATACAGGTATAGTGAGTAGTATTCTTAAAGCTGTCGCTAACGCCGTGTAGGCTTCCAGTTCCATTGAAGAAATGTATAATAAAACTTTTTCTGGCGAAAATCCAATTTATTCTTCGTTTTTCGTCGCTCTCTTTAATAAAAGTAGGACTTATTGGATGTCACTAAATAAATCTTCACTATCCAAGTCATCTGGATAGGATTCGGCAGGTTGGTTGCTCGCATTTTTCTTTAATTTCGACGAGTTTGTCATTGAATGAGTCTCTGGTTAGTTCTATAATTTGTTCCAAAATCCAAAGAAAACCAAAACGGTCATTAAGCTTTTCCAAATTTGTGAAACGGGTGGATATTTCCATTGATTTTTCGATCACACGGCGTCGCATTTCTTCTTCTGAATTCAAACCAGCATTTTCAGATATTTCCCCAGGCATATTTTGCTTCTTCCGAATTCTCTTGATAATAGTAACACCCCACTGTTCGCACTTATTTTTGGCTTTGACTATTGTTTAGACGCACTAACTGGTCCTCCAGTCATTCAGTTTATCCACCAAAATTTGCAGTTTTCCCAATACATGAGTGACAGTGATTATTTTTTCTTGTAACTTTCTTTGAACTTTGTCAAAAGGTTCGAGAATTTCCGCCCAAAAAAGCAGAAGTGCGACGCACAAATACTTGTATTTCTACAAATTTTCAAAAATGGTATTTAAAAACTCCAATTCAAGTAAAAATTCCTGCAAATTGTGTCAAAAGTGTACAAGATACAGGGCGAAAATGGGTTTTTTTTCTATGGCTTTTAATACTATTTCTTGTAAATTTACTATCAATTTTCTCCAAAACCGTATTGTGAGAATTTTGGAACTTCAGAATTTGCGCAGCTTCTAGTTCCTAAATTTTATATACTTAATATCGAAGATATTTTATAAAAATTTACTTTTATTCGAACTTATAGGTAGGTAGAGAAAGGGGGGCGGCAGAACATCCTTGGCCCCGGGCGTCCGAAGTTGTAGCTACACCACTGTTCTTATTTTAGAGCAAAGGACAAATCATACTACAAAAATGGCATCGAAAAGTTGTAAGGTCGCTATAATCAATGTATAATGAATAAAGTAAGTAAATTTTGTCAAAAAAAAAAGGTGTTTTACAATGGTAGGCAGGGGTTTCTGAATACCTGGTTCACCTGCTGGATATTTTTAAAAGTTGTTTGAGCCTGCAGTAAAGCTTTGAGATGCATAGATATTTAATTTAAAATTTTAGATAAAAAAAACTATTTGCAATGAAATCTTAATATCAGTTTGATATTTATGTGCCGAAGGTCCTGGCAGCCAGTGTTCCTTTTTTCGTGGAAAAGTAATTGTATTATTGTTTCACGTTTTTATAAATAAATAAATAATATTTATAGCGATGCTATAGTTAATATGCATATATATAAATATATGTATACATATATGTCCTCATAAACACTTTTACCTAGCAGATCTATAGAAATGGCAAATTTTATTAGAAATTTTACAGCAAGACAATTCTCTTAAAAATTGCCAACCTCTACACTACTATTATTAGCGACTGACTACACATAATGGAAATAATTATATGAGGCCTAGAAGTAATTACGCGCATGCTTGGATTTCGCAAAAACTCGAGATCGCCTGCAATATAAATACACACATACATACAAACATACTATATGTGTATGCGAAACAGGGTGCTTTAACATCGAGTTTCTAGAGTATGATAAGTTAAAAGTCAACTTAGGTTACTTTAGTTTAGTTAAGTAACTCTTCTTTAAGCACATTCCTTTGAAACGATCTGGAAAACATTTTCTTGAAGACGAATTGCTGCCACACCTAACCCCTTACGAAGTTTAGCGTGCTCGTTGTATTGTTTTTCGTTAGGAGTTCTAGATAAAAAGCTAAATTATGTGGAAGAACGAAAGTGGAAAAAATATCATTTGAGATAAAGATCTTCAATCTTAATTTTTTTATGCAACTCTTCGTTAAAAGTTCAAGGTTATGCTAAAAAACTGATTTTTCAACCTTCGCATCAAATGACATTGTGTCCTTCTCGATTCCGGTTTTAACCAAAACTTTCACGAAAATAATTTATTTCTTTTTTAACGCAAAATAATATATTTCTTGAAAAAAGGTGTATTTTCTAGCAACTTTTTTTGAAAAAGTGTGTTTAAAAGTGACTTCATAAGCTAGAAAAAAAAATCTGGTACAAGTAATATATTGTGCCGTATTTGACATAATTTGGCAAGTGAACTTGACGAGGGAATGAGTTCAGTTTATTTTTGATGGCATATTATTGAGAATTAAAAAACAAAGTAGTTCAGCATACCCTGTATATGACGAATCACCTCTTGTGTCTTATATGGCAAGC